TTTCGTTGAAATCACTATTTAAAATTAAATTTACTTATATACTGCGTTCTATACCAGTAAGTATCTCCATGTAATGTATGAAATAATTACTGATACTTATCTACATAATAACAAAATTCAAGAGAAATGTTCGAGTTTTCTTTAAATATTTCCTTTTGGGTCATTTTATACATTTATTTTTGTTTATTTGTAATAATTAAAAAGGCAATATTTAACTCGTATCCTTAGTAATTTAAAAAGGGATTTTTTGAGTTCATATAATTGTCTATACATACGGGAGAGAGAGTACAAAATATATACTTACTGGCATTTTTATAAACTGTTTATAAAGTTATATTTATGAGTTAAATTTTTCTCATTGCAATATACGTACTAAGGAAAAATAATAAAGAGGATTTATTAAATATTAAAGCATTTAGTACAAAAATAATTTAGAACTAATCACATTTAGCAGAAATTTTAGCTTTAAGTATAATAGCAAAAAATTCTACAATAATACAGGAAAATAATGAATACTTTCATTATTATCTATATATATAAAAGAGTAGCGTTACTGACTGACTGATTCATCATCACACAGCCCAAACGGCTGAACCTAGAATAATGAAATTTTGACAGTAAAAATCCATTCACTAAGGATGGATTTTTGGAAACTGGTACATTTAGAGGTAAAAAAGGGAAAAAACTGGTAAAACAGGTTTTCTTAATTATCTTACCTAATATTAGTGATACAAGAAAAATTTTAAATGCACATGTATCTGGTACTTTTTTGAAATTCGTACTCTTAAGGGGTGAAAATGTGTAACAAAGGTGATTTTAGTTCCTTTTTTGGCCCTTTATAACTATTTAACTAATAAACAAACTAACATTTTTGTAAATATTTTGAAAATATATCCCAAAATTAGGAGGCACCTGTTTCGTACTTTTTGGGTGTAAAAGGGAGAAAATTGTATTTTGGTACTTTTTTAGCACATTAAGAAAACTTTTTCGATTTATTTAAGTATTCCTATTCAATTATGGACTAACTCTGTAATATTTATTGAAACAAAATGTTTGCTATTACACTGGAGAAAAAAGTACCAAAAAGGGGAAAAACGGGAAATCGAATTTTATTCAAGCTCATTGAGCCAAAAAAATTAAAATTTGAAAAAAAATAAAATTTGAAAAAGTAGTTTATTTACTCACATAAAATAAGCTATTGGTATATTATTTTAGAATTCGAGTACTAAGGCCTAATAGGACCAAATTCGAGTAAATTGTTTGGTACCTTTTTGAAAGCACAATTTTTCTGGAACAAATGAATGCAGATTTGAATCGTTTGATTTTTATCTTTGATATATAGATTTAAATACGTAACATTTTGTAAACTTAATTCTCAAAAAGGTATATTTCTAAGCTAAAAGGGAAAAATTGTACTAGTATAATTACAAAAATCGACAGAACTGTTAGTAGTGTCACGACAAAATTCGCCATAAATAACTTCTATATAAACAATGGTCCATTAAAAATAACATGAGAATCTTCCCATATTTGATCCTTCACTTAAAAAATATTTTAAAATGAACGTAAATTTCAATAAAGCATTATGATTTATGAAAAATAATCCATATCTTAAACATAGTCCTAACTGATATATTTAGGTTATCATATGGTCGGACATGCCCGACTAATTTCCTTGTTTCTATAGTAGTCATTGAAAAACAGATAGTGTTAATTTTTAAACAATGTCCTTTTTCATAGCACCAATCATATTCTATATTACAGAAAAATACCTACATTTAATTTAAAAGTCCGCCTATTTAATGGATATTCATTCTTTTGATCTAAAAAAAATTTCGACCCATGCAAATAAACATAGGTACACAAATATGTAAATATTTGTATGTACATCTCCAGATCTTCTTTGTATTTTTTTGCTGCTGAGAGTACAATGGGTAATTGGAAATATATTCACAAACTGACAAACACTGAGGTTGTAACTGCTGATAATGGTAGTTAAAAATGTACTAAACATGTACGTATGTACACTAGAGTGTCCCGAGGAACAGGCTTCTTCAAAATCGTAGTAGTTTAAGATTTAAGAGGCATTCCTACAAAAAAAGTGGTATATGGGACACTCTAACGTACACTAATTTATTGATACTGCAAACACATATACATACATACATATACAATATTTTTACTAAGTATAGGTATATGTATTGCTGGAAAAAAATAAATACCTTTAGTGGGTAGTTTGATTTAAAAGAAAGCAAGGGTAAATAAAGTAAAAATATAAAATAAATTTCGGCTTAAACCTTGGTTGGTCGTAAATATTTAAAATGAAGATTTTTGAGTAAAAAAACTAATTATTAATGAAGAAACACAATCATTTCAAGACCATGACTTACTATCAGATCAAAAAGTAATTATGCTAAAAAGTAAAGTAAGGAGTGAATATAAATAACTTATAAGGACATTTCGATTAACTATTTTTCCACAAATTTAATAAAACATAATTTTAAAAAACGTTTTACTTTGTTACAATAAGCACATACTTAAGTTAAATTTTTCTACCTACATACATAAACCAATTTAATCTAACTATCTACTTTTAGAATATCCCTAGCTTTTCAAGCTCTTTGTATTCCTTACAAAAAACTTAAGCTTTCAATATAATATATAGGGTTTCAAGGAAAGTTAAAAAGAAAATAAAAAAAATTCTTAACAATGGGTTAACTATAAGAAGACGACGTCATTTAAAACTTTTTTACTCCTCAATATTATTGGGCTGTATGTATGTGTTTGTATGTCTGTAATTACAGTAAATTTTTTTTATGGACACGCGCTGCCAAAAGATTCCAGACAAAATACATTTAAGCCAGAAAATACTAAAGAGAAAACGCAACACAAAAATCGATATTAATTTTTTGGTGTAAACTGATATTTTGTGAACATTTAAAAAATATTTAAATCACTTTTTCGTGTTTTGGCGAAAAAAGTGGAAATATTGAAAATTATTCATTATAAGGAATGGCTATTTGGTTGAGAATAAAACTTAAAGACAATAAGAATAATATGTACTAGTAATAAAATATTTTAGTAATTTGGGATTATGTTTTTCAATGACTACTATAGAAACAAGTAAAATAGTCGGTCCGAATAATACATACGGGTCATTTCGTATCAAGTGACCCAACTTTAAAAATTTCTTTCGATGGCCTATTGGATAGTAGGTCAGACACAAATTTTCAGCGTAATCGGCCAAGAACTGCCGGACTTAGAGAAGGTCAAAGTTGGACGTTTAGGTCATACAGAGTTTTATTCAAATGAGTGTAAATTTTCATCTATTGGTCCTAGCAGAAATTGTCCAAAGGAGTTCCTCATTCTTTCCAAAAAAAATTTATTAAAAAAAAAAAATTAGTATTTTTTTTTCAAAATGGGTCCTTTTTTGCTTAAAAGGAAGCTTATACAATTTCCTTGAAGGGCTTTATAGTCCATTGCCTTTAAGAGCTTTGTGATTACTTAGTGGGATGTGAGTGGGATATATATAAAATATTTTAACTCCAAAAACAAAGTTTTTGAGTTAAAACCCTGTATAACCAAAATATCCAACTTTAACCTCCTCTGTCTCCGGCAGTTCTTGACCGGTTAGGTAAAGGTTTGTACTATGGGCCTACTATCCCATAGTACTAACCTTCCCAGCAAAAAAAGGCGTGCAAAAAAAGTAGTAAATGCATGGGTTGAACTGATAATGAACTGGTTCATATTTAGGGGAAATATGCATGATTTTAACATTAGCGTGTCATTTTGCATGATATTGATAAAAATAGAATAAGATAAAACATAACTGATTTTGATTGGATTTAAATTCATGCAGAGGAAAAATACCCATTGTGTTTTAAAATCCGTTAAGCAGTCTTGGTTTTTTCCTTCTCTTATTAATGGACTTAATATTACTAATTTTAACAAAAATCTAATAAAAAATTAATGTCATTTTTAATCTTTATTGTATGAAATGCACGTTTTCGTTAAATCTCCTAAGAGAATACCAAATTACAGTAAAATATTACAATTCCTATAGTGGAGTTACATGAGTGAATTTGGGTTCATTTTTCATGCCTTCACTGATGACAAATTTTTTAGAATTTAGGCATGTATTTAAAACGCATTAAATAGAATACTTACTAAAGAAATCATGAAAATATCCCTTCTTCTTTAACAGCTTCAAAATTTTTTTGCTGGGTTGGTGCAAATTTCATCGAAATCGGAAGACATCGATTTTTAAAGTTAGGTCACTTGACACGAAATTCCCCATATGTATGTATATTCATATACATGTAAAACTACTTTATGACTGAAATTTTTTCTGTTGTCATTTTATTTATTATACCACTTTACAATGACAGTTTGTTTCGGTTAAAAAAATGTTGTCGTCTGAGTTTGAAGGTTATAAGAAACGGTTCTATTTTTCGTTATCATTATTTTAGTGATACGGATAGTGAAGAAGTGAACTTATTCAAAAGTTTGGAAATAAATAAGAAATTTTTACATAGAAAAAAAATATTTTAACTAACCGTAGTAGGATATCATATGGTCAGCAATGTTTGAATTACTCTCTTATATTGTTTATATAGGAAGTCCTAATAAGGGGTGAATAAAAAAGTTGGGCAGTTGGCTTTTGTTGCAAAAGAATTTTAAAGACCAATGTTGCGTGTTAATTTGTGGAAATCACAGTTAAGAAAAATAAGTGAATTTGTTTTTGGGGTACGAACAGAAGATATTAGTCAGTGTTTTAAAGTTGATGGGTTAAACACTAAAGATCTCATTAATAATTAAATTTTTATTTTATAAAAGATTTATAAAAAAACAAAGGTTTATAAAGCAAATTTTGCTTTATAAACCTTTTGTAAAATAAAAGATTTATTATGAATATGGAAATAAATAAGGATATTTATGTTTATTATTAAAAAAATAAGTTTTAGACTCGCCCTATAAAAAATTTACATAAACTGACATTATTTGAAATTATTTTATTTTTAAGTTGCTTTAAAACTCTGAAAACAAGACAAATATTTTCAAAATATGCCACCAAAAAATGCAAAGAAAAAAACAAAAACTGCTTCAGAAAAGGAATATACACTCTTGACTTTAGAAGAACTAAAAGTTAAAGAACTTAAATACACCAATCGTTTGATGGAACTAAGAAAATTTCTCAATTTTATAGACGGTAAGTAAAGGCAAATAAAAATATTTGTATAAAAGAAAATATTTCTTAACTTTCTTAAAAATAGAGGCTTTACTGGAAATCTCCTCGCTTAATGGAAAAGAATTGCTGCAAGATAAATGGAAGGATTTTGTTACGTGTAATCCTTTACCCAAACCTTACATACCATCTGATATACGGCTTTTCTATAATAAAATGCAATATGTGGAAAACGAGAAAGTGGAGGGTACCATAAATTGGCTATTAATGATAAATGAGAGAAGTCTTTTGACGCAAAATATTTACCGTGAGGATTTGACAAGACGTAAATTAAATACAAAAATGAAGGGAAATATTGGTCAAGAATATAATAGTTATATTAATAATTCATTAAAAATTTTACATAAAATCGAATGTTTCTTAGATAACGATATAGAAGTAGCTAAATGTCCTATACAAATTTTCCATGATATAGTGGGACGTAAATTAGCTATACAGGAGGAGATAAAGGATTTAATGGATCGTTATACTTATCGCATAATAAGTTCAGAAAAGGCGCAAATGAGGTAAATGGAAATGTTTTTAAGACTATAAATTTATCAAAAAAAAATATTCTTTAAAGATCTTTAGATGCTATTACCGCCGAATATTGTTTTGAAGCGGACAATTTCCAAATCCATATTTGGTGTTTAAAAAATGTGGCACTAAGAATATCTCATTTAAGGTTAGTAATAATAGTGCAAATCTATTTGAATATATGTATATAATAATCATTACCAACCATTACAAGTAATGGTAATTGTTAAGCTTCAATTACAATTACTTATATATGTAATAGTAATTGAAAATGTAATCACTAGCCTCAACCCTGTCATTCGATATAGCTTAATATTGGAACCATATTAAATCAATAGAATTTTGTAAATAATAACACAAAATTAAGTTTAAATTACAAAAAAAAAAACTTCATACACTTCTAGTGAACCTCGACTCCTTGCCAATTTTCACTCGATCAAACTTCTTCTGCATGTACCATCCAAAATGTTACGAGAAAATCTTGTTATTAGAGCCCTTCATATGGACTTCGATCATTTGAGTGAAAATGCCAAAAGTTATAAACAACCCATTACAGTATCCACAGAAAATCTCAATGCTGGTATAGTAGATTTGCCTGATTGTCTGGTCAATGAGTGGATAATGCAATTGGAAGTTCAGGAAAAGAAACGCAATGAAATGATACAAATTCGTATGGATTATGAAGAAAAAATGCGACAATACGAAGAGCAAATGGAAAAGAAAAAGGGACGTAATAAAGATGTAAAAGACACCAAAAGCAAATTGAAAATAGTAAAGCCTGTCAAAGAACCACCCGTTATAGGAAATGATGTGTTTCCCGATACTTATGAAGAATTTTTGGCGGAAGAAGAAAAGCAATACCAGCATTTTATACAAACTGTTTATAAGCCTGAGCTGCTTAATTTAACATCAGATGAGGTAATTTTTAAAATTAAGGCAAATGTGTTTAATAATGTAAAATTTTTACAGATCAATCTTAAAAAATATTTCATATTGGGCGGCATATATCAATTATATTATGTAGTAAAGCCTGTACATTATGATTTGAATAGCTATAATATGACCTGGCATAAAAAGGAGAGGAAATTAGTTGTGGATAAAGAAGTTACCATAGCAGCTTCAAATGATTTAAGAACATATACAAAACAAATCTCTGAATCTTCACAAATGCCAACTACAAGACGCCTTACCAAACGTATGACTATCTTTGAAGCAGAGAACTTAAAGATGAATACTGAAGTGGAGTGCCCTTGGTTTATTGTGACCATACATTTACCGGAGTACCTTTGCTATTGGGGTGAGCCAATTGCCTGCCATTTTGAAACAACAATTGAGCAAAAACAGGAAAAGATAGAAGAGCCACAAATAGAACCCGCGGAGGAAATAAAAACCAAAAAGCCCACGAAAAAACTTAAAGTAGAACAGCCATCAACAGTTACCACACTACAACCAACTTTAATAGATCAATCTTCTAAAACTAATTTGCAGTCGTTTTCCGAAGCCGATTTGCAGCTATCTCTACCTCGCGATACTACTACCGCTAGTTTTATAATCAGAACAAAACGGTTAACAGGCAGTCTGCGTAGGTCACAAGCCAGTTTCTTTAAAGGTTCCCTAGCAAATTCACTATTACAAAAGAATCCTTCTGAACGAATTGGCATTAGCGATAAAACCGGTACTTTATACATAAATGACTTTCCCTTAACTTCATCCACGCTTACAAAACCTCAAATTAGACATATGGAAAGACACATCGTACCACGCATTATTTCATCTTATAAATTTCCACAAGAAGTTCAACAAGAAGAAATCGAGGCGTACAATAAGAAACCCAAAGGTAAAGGTGGTAAAATAATACGTCCGAAGAATGAAGATTTTCAAAATAAATACTCCAAACGTACGTTTGATTTTACGGCCATGCAAAATAAACCCGAAAGACTATTTCCCTCGTATCCTAAAGTAGAGCCCTTAAATATTGTGTCCTATTTAAGAGATCCAAATCTACATATAGGCCATGAAGAACCCGAAACCTTTGCTCAATTACTGAAGATTGTAAGTAATATTAAGAAAAAATATCGCTTACGTGTGCGTCAGACAATGGACTTGAGAAATACGGTGACTGGAATAAAAACCTATAATAAACGTATCAGACAAATGCAAAGAAAAAAGGAACTATCGGCAATAACTTCATCTATGCATACCTTACGCAGTACGATCACCTCTCAGCGTAGTTCAAAGCGTACAACTGCTAAGTCTTTAAAAGAAGAAGGAAAATCTAAAGTGTCTTTAGTGTCAAAGCGTGGGGAAAAAGAAACAGTGGAACGAGAGAAATTAATAGATGCTGAATATTCTAAAACTGAGCTCTCACTCGAAACTGATGTATTGCTTAATACAACTAGTTCAGAAATATTAGTAAAGGATGAAGCACAACCGGAAGAGTCTGCAGCAAAAACTTATTCACACTGGACTACAAAATATATTTTGAAATCGGAATTTGATAGAGCAAATCGTAAGATAATTTTACATACAAATCGTTTGGGTAAGTGAAAATTAAAATATTTTGATAAAAAAAAGTTATAATCTGGAAAAAGTTTGCTTTTTATGATTAACTAATGTGAAACACTTCTGTTAAAAGTTTGACATCTTGAAAAAAAGAAAACTATTTGGTGACAATACGACTTTACCTTTTACAGAAAAGAAAGTGATATCAAACCGGTTTCGATATGACCCCTATATAGTATTGAAGAAACTCTACTTATATTCGCACAGATCTATGAGTCAATAAAAACTAAATTCAATGAAGAACTTGAATTTTAATAATATGCAAAAATATTTGTTTTTTTAGGTAATTTTGGCTTTGCTTTCAAACGTTATGAACACTTCCCCTTTAAATATTGGAATATGGAACCTAGTGAAACTGAGTAAGATCAAACATGTCACTAGTACATACATACATATGTATACAATTGCTATAGTTTATCTTTACAGTCCTGAAAATGAGGTAGTCTTTACTTTAGATACCCAATATGTAAGATGTGTTCTATACATCACAGCCAATGGCATAAGAGGACATGTCACCGAACCCACAAAAACTTATGTACGTAACCCCAAAATGTATTTGGTTATAGAAAACCCCCTCAAGGATTACAAGGAATTCAAGAAGCTCTTTAAGGAAAAACATTTAAATATATTTGCAGAACATGATGCCAGATTTTATATAGAAAACGGTACGGTAGTAACAATTTGACAACAAAATATCTTAGGGTGGAACACAGTTATGAAATAAATTTTATTTAAATATTACTACGTATATAGGTTACTTTTCCGAGAAACATTTATCCAATGAAATGCATACATATTGTTGTATGTCAGTTCATAGTACACAAATGAGATTTAATTTCTCACAATGGAATCGTTTGGCAAAACGACGTGATATTATTTTACATTTTCAACAATATAAAGACTTAGCGGAAAATCTTGTTGAAGTGCGTCTAACACCAGGTGAGGCATATTTCGTAGATATACAAGAATTATGTACAGAGGATTTAAATGATATAAAATTAGATTATAATTTAACCTGGCGAAATATTGAGGTATATAAAGAATTATAAACAATGGTATGAAATGTAAACCAATTTATTTATTGATTTATATTTTTTTTAGTCTTATAGCGATCTACATCGTTTGATTGTTGCGATGTATCCTGCTGCCACTGATTTACGTTGCAAGTATCCTAAGTTGATTTGTTGTATCAGAGATTTGTTGAGTGAAATAAGACCTTTAAGTTTTTCATAGGAAAATATTACTAAATATTTTTTATATATTTTTTTATTAAATATGTACAGTTTTCGTGGAAAGGTCATATTTTTATGAATTGATTTTTATGGTTTTATAATAAACTATATGTAATGTACATTTATAAAAAAAACTATTAATGCCTTTAAGTTATTTATAAAAACATTTAAAATACTTCTGAAAACTTCATCATATAAATATGAAGTTTTTGTAAGAAATAAACGTTCCTTTCCTCATTTAAAAAATATATTTTTTTTACTTATTTTAAAATATGTAGTTTATTTAATATTACAACTTTAAAAAAATTTAAATTCAAATCCCTATTGTAATTTTTTTCTTTTTAGCAATTTCTATTGCTAGACTTTAAAAATATTTTAAACTCAAATGCTTTTTTGTGCATCAAAAATACAATACTGTCTGCATAAAATATTGTAATAATTGCAAAATAACTATTGTAAATATTTTTTCCACAAATCCATTTATTTTAATCTAATGGCACTTCAGATTTATTTTTAAAATGTAGGCATTTTTTTGTTAACGAAAATAATATTTTAAATCGTGTATATTTATATGAAAATGTAAAAGAATCTTCATAGACATAAAATATATTCACACATAAATATATATATGCATACATTTACATTAGGGTGTCCCGTGGACCACTTTTTAGGAGGAGCATCTCTATAAAGATACGTTTCAATGTACTAAATACGAAACAAATAAAAAACGATTTTTTGAAAAGTTCCTCAGTTCCCTACCCGAGATTGAAAATCTTGATCTCAGTAAAAATATGTTCAAAAAAGCAATCTTTTCGAATATAATTCAAATTTTTGTTAGTGGATTTCTGGTCCGCAAAACGACTTTTGTAGTATTATAAGGGTAATATAAATTTAAAGCAAGTAAGAGGGTTATATTCGGCCATGCCGAATCTTATATACCCACCATCAAATCATTGCCGAAAAGGAATGCTTCCTTATAAATAAACTTTGATATTTACGAACCGATGCTTTTGTTATTATCGAAAACATTTTCTAATTTATTATTAGATCTATGTTAAATTTTATCATCATACATTAATCGATATATGAACATCGATAATATGAACATCAAGGTATTGTTTGGAAGAGGGCCTTTAATGAGGGCTTAAGTATGGACCGCGCTCTTCCGAATTAAAAATATTCATTTTTAAAAACAAATCTTTTTTGTCCAAATTTTATATTTTAGGAGCAGTTATCGATCCATCTTCGTCCAAGTAGGAAGATTTAAATTCCAATAAAACTTGTTTATGTCGAATTTCATAGATCTACTGATATCTATATATCAGTCATGAGCGTTAAAGTGATTTTCTGGTGGGGCCCTTATATGGGGGGTAGGGTCAATTATGGATAGATCCTCCTAAAATTTTGTAGAACGATTTTTGTTTATACAAATATTGTTCATGTCAAATTTCATTGCTGTACTCGCTATTTTGTGACAGTAATGAGCGTAAAAATCATTTTCTTAAGGGTACCATATATCGTGGGTAGGGTCAATTATGGACTGATCCTCATAAAATTTGATCGAGAGTTTTTGGCTCTCACAAAATTGTTTAATGTCGAATTTCATCGCTGTACTCGCATGAGCGTTAAAGTCTTTTTTTGAAAAGGACCTAATATGGGGGGTATGGGCAATTATGGACCGATCCCCACAAAATTTGATAGAGTGATTTTGGCTTATATGAAACTTATTTATGTCGAATTGAATCGCTATACTCGTATTTTTAAAACTGTAATGCCAGTTAAAGTTGATTTTCGGGAGCTCATTTGTATGGGGGTTATCAGAAAACGTGGACCGATATTACTCATTTTAAATACGAAACAAACCTTACCTGTACCTGTGCTTTCAACAGATAGACAGACGGACGAACAGACAGACATAGCAAGCTCGTCTTAGAATTTAATAAGGACCCAGAATATATGTATATACTTTTATGGGTCAAGACCCATTTCATAAAAATTGGGTATATTTTATTTTTCAAAAATTTTACTAAGGTCAGGATTTTCAATCGCTGGTAGGAAACTGAGGGCTATTTCAAAAAAAGAAATATTTTTTTTTCTTGTGTTCAGTACATTAATACGCATCGATTGGGAGGTATTTCTATATGACATTCTTAAAAAAACTGTTCCTCGGGACACTCTAATATACATACGTATGTGTGTCTAATCGATTTACCAAGTGGGTGTTGCGAATATGTATGCGTACATACATACATGTTGGTAGTGGTATTTTCATGTTTTATTCACATATTTTTGTGTTAAATTTTTCAGATTCCAATAAGTTCTATTGCTAGTATAAATGGAATATTGTACTTGAAAAAAAAAAATGAAAAACAAAAATTGTACAGAAGTTTTTCCTTAGTCAAGGTTTCATATTTGTATAGATATAAAATTGTTCTTTTTTTTACTTCAATGCTATTCACTAAAAACGAAAGCAACTTTTTTGAAATGCTGTTTAAAAAGGTCATGTGTATATGATGAAAAAATTGACAAGATTTAGAATTTAGTAAAAAGTCGCTTTTTTTGGTGAAAAAGTAACTTTTTGTTGATAAAATTGCTCTTTGTGAAAAAGGGAGTTTTTGGTAATTTTTTGTTTAAAAAATCGGTTTCTTGTAACGAAATATCATTTGCGTAATGGAGTTTAGAATCTGTCCAGCTAATTTTCAGCCTCACTCTCTAACTCACTCTTAGTAAGGATCTTTGTGATCCAATAATTCCATAAAATGTTAAACTATTGCGTTTTCGCACAACTGTTCTGCAGAGATTTTATTATATTTTTATACGAACTGCATGGCTAGATACATACAAATATGCATACGATTGAACTGTTTGTGTTAAAAAACAAAACTATTATTACTCTATACTCCTTATATTTTCTTCTGATATAACCCTATATGTGTGGCGATGCTGCTGGTGATAGTAGCAAATGTATTTATAGTAGTGATAGTGGTGGATATGAATGGTGGTTGTGTCATGGTATCGGTTGAATTTGTAAAATAGTTTTCCTGGATAACATTCGATTTTGCAATATGGTACGCATCACCAAGTTATATTATGTTGTTGGTGGGCATTTTGCTATTCAGAAATTGCTTTAAAATGTTATACAACTATATGTGTGCGGTTGTTGTTATATTAGGATGTTTCAGAAATTTTTGACAATTTTTTTTATAATTTTCTTATACTAAAAGAAAAATTCAAATAAATATTATTATTTGTTTCTGGCGCATAAAAATTATTTTAACATATTTACCCTGCTCTAAATAAAAGTGAGAAAAATATCTTATGGGGAAACTGCAATAAAGTGTTTTGGAGCTCTCCCATTATTTTCGTATTTGAATATGTCTGCATGTGCGTTGAGAGGATGTCGTTGCAATAAAACTTTTGAATTGCTTTGCCAATCCAACGTTTTGACATACATACATACATACATACTACATACATACATACATACATACATACATACATACATACATACATACATACATACATACATACATACATACATACTCATACATACATACATACATACATACATACATACATACATACTACATACATACATACATACATACATCATACATACATACATACATACATACATACATACATACACATACATACATCATACATACATACATACATACATACATACATACATACATACATACTACATACATACATACATACATACATACTACTACATACATACATACATACATACATACTACATACATACATACATACATACATACATACATACATACTACATACATACATACATACATACATACATACATACATACATACATACACATACCTACATACATACATACATACATACATACATACATACATACATACTACATCATACATACATACATACATACATACATACTACATACATACATACATACATACATACATACATACATACATACATACATACATACATACATACATACATACATACATACATACATACATACATACATACATACATACCTACATACATACATACATACATACATACATACATACATACATACATACATACATACATACATACATACATACATACATACATACATACATACATACATACATACATACATACATACATACATACATACATACATACATACATACATACATACATACATACATACATACATACATACATACATACATACATACATACATACATACATACATACATACATATGTATGTGTATTTATACCATAACTATTCTACAGACAAACACTCAGAGAGACAGTTATACCTATGGATTTACATACACATAAGTTCGATTGCCTTTTAACTTATTGTTCAATTTTTATAACGCTTTCCTGCTTATTGCCACGAAACTGCATAGTGTATATTTGGTTCCATGTTTTCTTACTGTTTAAGCCAATTGTCATGGGTTATGTACAGTAGACACAAAATTGAGCAAATATGTATGTACACATCTTTTCTTTCATTCTCATTCAGCTGGGACAAATAAGTACTTTTTCGTATAAACAAAAGTAACACTTTACTTAAGTTTATACATTGAACTTAAGTTTGTATTTTCACTTATAATAAAAATAAATTTTCTGAAACAATCTGATACCATGACATTTTTCCCACACTGTTGTAGAATCATATTTTGCAACTATATTGGTTTATTTCTTCATCATTTTCAATTGGAAATTCCTTGTATGTGCGTTAATGCATGCATATGTATGTAAAATTTGCTTGTCTTATTGTAGCAAGACAATTGTATTGTATTTTCCGATATTTCCTTTACATGCATTGCAACTATGTGTGTGTATTTTTAATAACAATATTAATAATCCTGCATTGAACGAGGTTGAGGAGTTTGGCGTTACTATTATTGGCAGCTATAGTATATACATATCCGGTACGTATTAAAAAATACTCACGATTACTTTGCTTTATAATAAAATTATACACGCACATTTAACAGAGGCTTATTATTTGTCCCATAAGAAAATTAATTTTCATCGTTTTAACACAATATTTCTTAAATGTAAAAAAATATAAATTTATATATTTTATTTTTCTTATACTGTAGTTTTTTTTTTTTGATAATTCGGTAAAAAAAAACTTACCAATTACTGTTAAATTGATTTTCAGATTTCTTGTGGGTGAATTACGAAAATCAACCCTACATCTGTAGACACCTTCATCTTCCAAACGCACATTGTCTATTTTCAATTGTGCTGGATGTGAGGTAACACTGAAGTAGGCTCGTTGCCCGAATGCTAATGGTGATGACCATAATCTCGCCTGACCAAATTGTCTCCCTCGTACGTCGAAACTAGCAAGAGAAGAAATAAAAAATAATTATTCGTTGGGAATATAAGCTACATTTTTATAGCTTTTAATGAAAAGCTCAGTTAAATGGAAAATTTTCTGATTAAAATTTGACACCTGTTGCAACACACGTACAGGCATATGTATTTAGATTATACCAGTTTTGTAGTAAATGAGTGATATTGTTTTATTTCTACCATTTTTCTACTCATCTCCTTTTGAAATTTACTTCGCGTACCACCCTCGTTTAATATTTAACCAATTTTAAACTAAAACTACTGCACATTAAAAGATTTATTTAAAGTATTATGGTATTTGTAAAAAGTTTTTAACACCCTTAACGTAAGTACTTAATAATTCTCTAAACAATAAATTTTTAACAACCAACCAGAATTTTGGGAAAAGCACTCAGGAACTAGAAAAACTTAACAAACTAAGTCATTGTCTTGGTTATACGAATTTTTAATTTGAAAATATACATAGTTTTTTAAGTTGTTTGTAAATTTACTACTTAATTAATTAAATAATAAAATAAAAATCCCAATAAACCCTAAAAACAAGTAAAGCATGAAGATAACTAACACTTTGTCCCTTTTTTTTTTGTATTATACATAAAACATGTTTTTCAACATAAATTAAATCACTAAGAATAAATAAGGAAGTGTCTATTCTTTTTATTATTTTCTAGCTTAAGGTTTGCCAACATTTTGTTCTAAACTCATTATGATGAGAATCTACAATCCTTTTAAACATAATAATGAAAAAATTACTAATAAAGTAGTATGTTAAGTTAAAATGGGAAAAGAAAAAAAAAAGAAAATAAAAATTGTTTGTAGAAAAAACTAAAACCGGAAACTATGATGGGGGGGATAATGATGAAGATAATAATGTTGATACGTTTGTTTGTTACTTACTTATAAATGGGTTCACCATCACCCTCACGAAACCACAAAACCATATAAACAGCATCGTCACGTTCCATTGGTGTTATATCACACGGCAGCATTGCCTGGCGTCCCAATACACCCTGAACTGAGGTAAGTGGTACTAAAATGAGATAAGGTGAAACACAAAAGAGAATAATACATTAGAATATTTACCAAAAAAAATGAACTGAATAATGAAATAGAAATGAAAATGTACCAAAAACGTAAAAATATACAAGAAATTGTAATAAATATTGAAGTAAAATGCAAATTGATTGATATTTGTATTAGTAGAACGTTTGTGTAGATGGTAGCAAATATTGAGCTCATTTCATTATACCCTACACCACTTTAGTGCGGAGGGTATATTGGATTTGTGCTGATGTTTGTAACATACAAAAATATTCGTCCTATACCCACCTTAAAGTATACCAATCGGCTTAGAATCGTTTTCTGAGTCGATTAAGCTATGTCCGTCCGTCCGTCTGGCTGGACGAAATTTGGCACGCACTTTTTATTTGGCCCAAGGACGAAGGCTATTGAAAATGGTTAAAATCGGTCCATTATTTCACCTAGCCCCCATAGAACAGAACCCCCCGAAAAGGGCTTCTGAGCTCATAATTATGTTAAATATACAGGAATATCGATAAAATGCGGCACAACTAAGTTTTATAGAAGTCTTGATGACCCTGCCAAATTTCATAAAGATCGGGCCCCATTTGACCCTAGCTCCCATACAAAGTCCCCTTCAGAAAATTATTTGAATGTCCAAAATTAACTTATAAACACAAATATCGCGATGAAATTCAGCACAATAAAATATTATGTAAATATAAATATATTCACAAAATTTTATCGGGCTTGGTCCATATTTGCCCCTAGTTTTTCATCCATAAATTGCTTAAATGTATCGGAACAAGGGAATATAGAAGATAAATGCTTTATTATAAAAAATAAATCAAATTTAATATTCATAACTGGTGTAGGGTATCATATGGTCGGCCACGCCCGACTATACTTTCTCACTTGTTTTTAATGTAAAATACATTTTTGAAAAAAAAAAATTTTGTATTTGTTTTACGTATTTTTCCTTTACAAAGAAACTTCTTAACTTAGTTTTGCTGTTTAGGATATTATCAATATATACTCTGTCAAATAACTATAGTACTTTTTTATACAAATATATTACACTTCTATAAACGGCCTGGATACCTTATTTTCAATAATTTTTGATAAATTTGAACAAAATGTTTTTCTATTGCTCGCATTATTTGTGTTTAATTAAATATTATATAAATTCAGCAGTATTAGGTTTCTTAAGTTTTTAATCATTTTTGAATAAATTATAAACAATTTTTATACCCTCCATCAAAAAAGATGTCATTCCGTTTGCAACACATCGAAATATTCGCCTAAGACCCATAAATGTATATATATTCTGTGTCCATATTAGATTCTGAGACGATTTAGCCATGTCCGTCCGTCCGTCTGTCTGTCCGTCCGCACGTCTGTCTGTTGAAATCTCGATAAGGACTTTTGATAAAGTTTGATTGGAATTGAAAATAGACAAAATCGGTCCACGTTTTCGCATAGCCCCCCGGGAAACAGTTTTAACAGTCATAACTGGTTTAAAAATACCAATATAACAATGAGATTTTACATGAATAATTCTTATGTGAACGTAAATCTCTTAACCAAATGAGGATCGGTCCATAATTGACCCTATCCCTTATATAAGGTTCCCTTCAGAAAATATCTTTATCGTTCATTACTGGCTCAGAAATGCGAGTACAGCGACGAAATTCGGCATGAACAAGTTATGTATGAGCCAAAATCTCTCTACTAACTTCTGAGAGGATGGATCCATAGTTGACCCTACTACCCCGTATAAATTCCCCTTCAGAAAACGACTTTACCGCCCATTACTAGCTTAAAATTACGACTAGAACGATGAAATTCAACATAAACAAGTTTTGTAAGAACCAAAATCTTTCTACCAAATTTTCGGAGGATCGGTCAATAATTGACCCCACCCTATTCAGAAAATCAATTAACTTCATTCGATAATAACAAAAACATCGCCCATTTAAAAAAATAGGGGAAAATTAAGTGCTAAATATTGCAAAAAAATTTTATTCTTGAGGTAAAAAATAATTTTTTTGATAGATATCCCACTCGCATCTCATCATGGGACTATAAATCTCTTCATCTTGTCTATTTTGCTTTCTTTTAAGCAAAACAAGTGCCCATTTTGAAAAAAATAAAAAAATAAAAAAATATTATAAAACTAAAAAAATAAAAAAATAAATATTTTGGAAAGAATGGAGAAATAGATATTTGAACTCCTTTGGACAAACCTTGCTAGGACCAATAGGAGAAAAGTTACACTCATTTGAATAAAAACCTGTATAACCAAAATGTCCAACTTTGACCTCCTCAAAGTACGGCAGTTCTTGACTGATAGAGTTGAAAATTTGTGTCTGACCAACTATCCAACAGTACTAATCTTAGTGCAAATTTCCTCAAAATCGATTTTTTGAGTTGGGTCACTTGACATGAAATTCCCCATATATCACTCAAATATCTTGATTATTTACAACAATGGCAGGGCAAGGCAAAATTTTACTGTCGAAAAATTTGAATTGAAATCTTTCGAAAGCTTAGCACTATCACAGAAAAAGAAAATTAAATAGATTAGCACTTCTATATTAGTTCTTCCCAGCAAGCAATAACTATGCCTACCATACTATAATGTTTTTCACTTGATAACAAATATAAATTCGAAACTCTTAGAAAATCTTTAAGAAATATTGAAACTTTTCCACCTTAAGAAACCGGATTCAATACATCTCTATTACCGAACAGTTATACTTAACTAATTCTTATCTAGTTTGTGTTTGCTGGGAAAGTACAATCACAAAAACATGCGAACAAGAAAAAATACAAACTCATACTGCTGAAAAATCATTCACATACTTGTAGATACATCTTCAATAAGTGTAGAGATGAAATGCTAATGATAATTTTACATCGCATTAAGCAATCGAGGTTGCTATGACTGGCTGATGATGGTAAGTAGTACAATAAGTATACCGGCATGAGTAGGGGGAAATAGTACTACAGCAACGAAACAATGTTATATATAAGCAGAGTGGCCAGATAAATTTTCAAATCGAAATACTTATGTAATAGTATTTTCCTATGAATCTCAAGATTCTGACACAACCGGTCAGATTATGGCGAAAAATCTTTAAAGGTATTAAAATCAATATTCAACCTAACCAATTTAAAACATGTTTTTATACCAAACACTAACTGTTTATAATTGGTTAAGTTGAATATTGCTTAAAATACCTTTGCCTATACTACATATATATTGTTAACTAATATTATTTTTGGTTTGATTGAAAACTACAGAAAATATATTACTCAGTTTTACTTACTCAGTATGCAATAGAACTGAGGAAAATAATTCCGTGGAATTTCATCGCGATATCCTAGAATTTCGAGATTATAATAGTGAATTCTTATGAAAAACAATAGTTGTAATCCTTCCAACTAAAAATCCTCGTCAAAGCAAGATTTTTGTTTACTTGGCAACCTTTGTGTACAGCAAATTGTAATATGTATTTGTTATTGTGCTTTACTTTTTTTCAGTTTCCATCATTTTGCAGTTATTATTGTTACTTTGTTTATTTTTCACATCATTGAATGAATAATCAATATTTTGTTTCACTTTGTATTAATATTTACGTTTCACTGCATTTAAATTGTATGGAATTTAAATAACTACATCGTTTTGTTTGTAACGAAATTGAAAAATATTTTTTTAGATGACTTATATTTTTCAAAGATAGAAAAAATAGTTTAAACATTGTTATTAAAGAGAAGAGGAAATACATTTTTAGATTATTTGATATGACAATATTTTTACTAATTTTTACTAAACGTGTCCCGTGGAACACGTTTTTCTAGGCATACTTCTCAAACGATGCGTTTTTTTACAAGGGTCTCAGTTTGCTATCAGCGATTAAAAATATAGATCTCTGTACAATATGTTAAAAAAGTTATCTGCAATCTGTTCGTATTTCTGATCTGCAAAACCTCTTTAGGAAATATGAATTCAAAAATAATCTAGTAAATTCTGAAATGGACCAAACCAAATGCAAAACAATTTTTCAAATATTATTTTGGCCCCCGGTAGGTTAGTGTTTAGTGGTCTAGTCTGGTAGACTGCAGGTGGTGGGTTGGATTCACAACTGAGGCACAACAGGCCCGATAGAGGCCTAGGTGTATTTCTTCGAATTTGATGTATATACATCCTCCTTTCAAACTAACTAACTAACTAACTAACTAACTAACTAACTAACTAACTAACTAACTAACTAACTAACTAACTACTAACTAACTAACTAACTAACTAACTAACTAACTAACTAACTAACTAACTAACTAACTAACTAACTAACTAACTAACTAACTAACTACTAACTAACTAACTAACTAACTAACTAACTAACTAACTAACTAACTAACTAACTAACTAACTAACTAACTAACTAACTAACTAACTAACTAACTAACTAACTAACTAACTAACTAACTAACTAACTAACTAACTAACTAACTAACTAACTAACTAACTAACTAACTAACTAACTAACTAACTAACTAACTAACTAACTAACTAACTAACTAACTAACTAACTAACTAACTAACTACTAACTAACTAACTAACTAACTAACTAACTAACTAACTAACTAACTAACTAACTAACTAACTAACTAACTAACTAACTAACTAACTAACTAACTAACTAACTAACTAACTAACTAACTAACTAACTAACTAACTAACTAACTAACTAACTAACTAACTAACTAACTAACTAACTAACTAACTAACTAACTAACTAACTAACTAACTAACTAACTAACTAACTAACTAACTAACTAACTAACTAACTAACTAACTAACTAACTAACTAACTACCTAACTAACTAACTAACTAACTAACTAACTAACTAACTAACTAACTAACTAATAATCATTTTGTGGATTAGTAGTTGTCTAGTAGTTGTAGCATGCATTACTTTACAACTAAAGTTTATTTCCTCCT